GATCGGAAAGTGAGTGAGCAGCGGCATGTACTCGCTCACTTCACGATCAACAGAGCCGATGTGACAGTTTTAATGTCACACGTCGGCTCTAACTATGAGGATGAGTGTAAATCATTCACCTCATAGTTCCCCTTCAATGAGCTGTAGTTTGTTGTCCATGCTACTGAAAAAGCAAAGTATATTTAACACCAAATCTCTCTTTTTATGCTTTAGAAGGTGTAAGGCAGGCAATTTAATGGGGAATGCCGAAGCCAGCTCCATTAACCATGTTACAAATGTGAAATATTTCATTATTATTATTACACAAGATTTATATAGCACCAACAGTCTGCACGGGACATTACAATATAAAGGGAAACAGAAAAGCATTTCATTCTGAAAGATCACAACAAAGACTCTAATGTTGAGTTTCTAACAGCTGGTAAGCTGGCAAGATTCTGATGCAAAAACCAATAGGGAGAAATGATAACATTCCATGCCTCTGTTGAACTTTGAATACAATTTACTCCACAATGCCTGCAGCCAGAGAGGTGAACGAGGGTTTGATCACGACATGTAAATACTCTTGTGTGCATAATAAGGGTACAGGTTTACTTTGCCTTCCCTCATTAATGACCCGACAGAAAGTGGTCACTAAAACAGGTGTAGCCATTGGAAGATTTCCCCACACATCCAGTTACAGTGACAACCATGGTTTTGCATTTCCCATAACTTTCTGTGCCAGCAACCTAGGTCACCAGGACAAAAAAGAAGGACGGTGAATTTCCCAGTTAGGACACAGGCCGCAATAAAAGCCAGTCAGGGATTATACCATATCCCAACAGTATCTAAAAGTAGAAACAAAGTAGAACAAGAGTAATGTCTTGTTGACAACTGTCTTGCTATGAAACACTGTCAACAAATGCTACTAGGTGGTTTATCACTACGTGGGCAGTGCAACCAGCTATGCAAAGTGAGGGCCCTCCTGTACAATCTATTCAATGTACATAGTAGTCAGTAAAGCTAAAGGAAATTGCACAATCAGTTTTTAACTTCTAAGGCCAGCTACATGCAAGTTATACACATGCTACCTTTCAGGAAATTTTAAGTTTGACCACAAAGATGACAAAACAGATCAATACAACCTACCACCACAGTTTCTATAGGAAACTGCTGGAAAATCATTAAAAAAAAAAAAGGGGGGGGGGGGCAAACAATTAAA